CTTAAGAAATGTAGCATTTATTTATGATGATTTTGACCATGTAGGTCAGAGAGGAGAACATGGAGAAATATCGAGAACAACTGGGTACCATGGTATCAAACAGTATTAGAAAACAGCTCTCCGTGGAGTTGAAGAGCATAATTGTGAGTACCAAAATTCCTCCTTTCCAGTTTACTTGAATGTATTTTCATGTAGGGTATTATTTTCTGTATGAATTTCTGAAACTGTACGGATAGCAACTGCTCTTTTATTATGTACTATTCGTTCTAGTAGTTGCTAATCATTGTCTAGCTGTAAAATCCAAATTTGCACTTTTGAAAGTTATTAGTTGTTAAGCTTTGCACGATTTTTACAAGTCATTAACTAAGGCGTTTATTTGGATTTTATCAGGCTTTCAATTTTGTTGGTGTTTTTAACATTCCTTTTTCCTCATTTTTAGTTCAACTGCTGAAGCGCTGAGGTCACAGTCCATAGTAATAATTAGATAATAATCTTATATGTGCTTTATGGTTTAGAATTGAACTCTAATTTCACTGTCCCCCTCGAAAACTTTCGCGGTTTCTGTCTTAGAGATAAGTTATTAGAATTATATTATTTTGGTTTATCGACTCATTTATAAATTATAAAATTCAATTTATCTTTATATTTTATTAAAGTTTGTCTCTATATTGCAGTCAATGTTCAAAAACACATCATATACAGAAGGCTTCTATGCTGGGACTCATCATCAACCCAAAAGAATGTGAAATCTATCAGCATTGATCGTGACAGATATAGAAACATCAAGATTGATAAAGAAAAGAATTGTATGATCGATCATATTCATACGTGTCCTGTATGGCGGTTCTATGTTAACTGCAGATTTTGTGGATCTTCAGCTTTTAGTTTTTCTGTGTCTCGAAATTGAATAAAACATGTTGATGCACTGGCTGTTGTGCCATCATTTACTTAAGACAATTACCTTCAGTAGACAATGCAATTTACAGGAAGTTACAATGTATTTGATAACCAGAGCTTGGTTGCAATTACGAAATACATCTAATTCTACGTCCTTTTACTTGCATTGAGATCATGCTACATACGAATTGTGCTTTCAATTCTCTCCGCGATGAGATATTCATGTGCCACTATCATGTGGATGAAGAGATCGATATCTTGATCGGAAGGGTCACGTATTGCCCGTCTGCCTCAGCCTCTACCTTCCTCACGAGAATCACTGGATGAATCTGCCGGAATTTGACTTGGAACCGGCAGCTCGTGGCGGCAAACTGGGCAAGAATTGTGCAGCCTCAACCAAGGGACAATGCAATCAGAATGGTATATATGGTTGCATGGAAGCTCCCTTGCTTTAGTTCCTAATTTAAATTCTTCCATGCAAACTGGGCATTCTGAACTGGTAGCCAAATGGGATGGCTTAACTTTCGTTGTCGGAATCGCATCAATGGCCGACTCTGGGGCCGGAGTTGCCCCCGACCTGTCGTTCTGAGTAAGTTCTTCTATAAGTCGCTCAAATCCAGGGCCTACAAAGTAGTTCCGGGGTTGCACTCTAGGTGGTATCAGCCCTTCCTGTAATGGATTCCTACCGCCAGCTGGGACAGCCCCGGCTAATCCGAGAATGATCCAGGCCCAGAGACGGGCTAGAATCCCAGGTTCAGGTCTCCAATCATCCCTATTCTCACCAAACAAATTGTTTCTTCTCCTCGGCAATAACCATCCCCATCGGTTTGCCGGCTCGGATCCTTCCCTTTGATGTCTTCTGCGAAGAACACGAATTCTTTGTCCAGTTCCTTGATCATTTCTTCTTCTATCCATGTCGGGATTTTGCAATGCATTTGGTGGATCAAACAAGAGGGACAACGCTTCAAGAATTCGGGCCACAGGAGAGGGATCGAATGCAGTGAATTCAGGAACCGATCTAGTTCTTCTCATGTTGATTTGAACAAGGAACTGACCAAGGCACCTCGGACAAGCCACCTCGGACAGGTTGTCCGAGCTAACATGGACCAACCGATGACAATGGTAACACCAATAGAGCTGGTGGTCTCTACCGACATCGGCAGTTTGTCTTGGAGCGCGCAAAGCCATGATCTTGTGAGCTTCGAGTATACCCTAACAACAAAAAGTTTCTTGTTCGCTATTGCAAGTTTTTTGAAAAATTCAGATGAAATAGAAACATATGATCAGAGAAACTTGCTTTTTTAGATTAGATATTCAAGTTTTGTATTGAAGGGAAAAGAATGGCGTTCTGGAGTTGCATAAAGTCATTCTGTCTTGCTTTTATTCATATAATTTGCTGCTTCTATATAAAGAAAAGTACTAGGGAGATCTTTTCCCTTACAATTTTGAATAAGAATTATTATGAGTTCCAAATGAGCCAACAAGATTTTAAATCTTAATCACCACACGAATTTATTTGCTTGTCGACGAGCCATCATAAGGATTATATACATAACTAACTGCTGGTAGCTGTTAAGTAGCTAAAGGTTGCTGCTGCTGAATGTTTACCAACAGCGTATTCTTCTGCATACTGTGGACAACACAGGCATTTTCAAATTTTTTTTTGATTGAGCAGACGTAGGATTTATTGAAAAGCCTGATTCTGAATGTTTTCAACTTTCTTGATCTCGTCTTGCTAATACCAATACAGATTGAAATTTCTGTTTTTTGCGTCATCACAAGCCTTCCGCTTGCAGGATTCAATCGCGTCTTCAAAGTCATTACAATATCTAGGCCAGATAGTCGGCTCACTTGGTTCGTTGCCTTCTGTTGCCTCGTCGAAAATTGAGCAGATTTTGACACCACATTGAATAGATTATTCTTCAGCTTTCTTTCCAAATTCTTCCCTACTTTCATTACATAAGTGTGCTGTGCCCTTTCATGCTCGTCCCACTCCCATCAATGTCTGTCGAGCAAAACTAAATCGAAACAGGTAGTCTAATCCTTTTACAAAAATCAAGAACAAAAGCGCGTAAACTTCAATGTTTATCGTATCAAGAGTTGGGGTTCCATTTTAAAATAGTGGAAATTACACAAAACCAAACTTTAAAAAACCTGTGTTCTAAAATCATATGGAAGGTTTCAATTTTCACAAATCAGATTTTTCAACCCAAACCCTAATACATTTACCCAAACCGAAAATTATTTCTCCCCCTATCTCCTCCTCTCCTCAATATCCATTCTTCTCTCTCTCTCTCCACAATCATTCGTTCAAGAACCGCCCTTATCGGCAGCGGCAAGGCGGCAGTCGTGCATCGCCGAGTCTCCTTCCTCATTCGGTCGCTAATGTAGACGGCGAGGCGTTGCGAGCAGCAATGCCTTTCTGCTCCTCGATGGCGACGGAGCAGCTATGCCTAGCGAAGCGGAGCTCTACTATTGCTCGAATCAGCAGCGGTGCCTTTGCTGGTGGCGGTGCTGTGGTGGTGGCTGGCAATGTTATATCTGTTGCTGGTGGTGATTAATCGTGCATCTGATGGTGATGTGCGATGGTGGGTGTCGAATTTGGGGTGGTAGCTGGTGGTGATTTGTGATATTATCCTAATTAATAATCAAAAGTTAAACTTTCGAATCTGTGATTTCGATTTGTTGCTTTTTGCAATTCATTTTATTTCTTTACGGCGATGCATTTGTATTGGGTTGGGGGTAAGTTTGTGTTTTGTTGTTGGGCTGTGTTGATTGTGGTTGTGGCGGGGATGATGGATCAGGCAGTTGTGGGTGGTGGTGGTGCTAGCGGTGGTCACAGGTGGTTTTGAGGTGGATTTTGTGGTAGTTTTTTGAGATGGTTTGGTAGTGGTGACGGTGGTGGTCACGTGCGGTGTCAAGCATTCTAGTGCTGCAGCGATCTGGTTGCAATCCAATGAGTTGGTGATAGTAATGGCGTTGCATTAAGGTTGTTGCGAAGTCCAAGTCTGATTGTCTGATGACATTATTTTGGTTGATTTTTGCATTTGTGTGTTGTGTGGTGGTCGTGGTTTGCAATGTGGTGGTTTTTTTTGGAATGGATTGATTTGTTTGAGGTGTAGGTGGTGGTGGTTCTGGCGATGATGTCGGTGGGGACGGTCTGTGACCAACCATTTGGTTATTTGTGACCAACTAATTAATTGTTACCTAAATATTCGATAATTTGCGACTGAAATTAATTTGTGGCCAATTAATTTGAAAATCTATGATATACAAATAAATTGTGACTTGATTTGTGATCGATGAAATTAACCGTGACCAATTTATTTGATAATTTGTAATGAATAAACAAGTTGTGATCGATAAAAGTTGATTATGTGATCAATAAATAATTTGTGACCTATAAAAAATTTTATTCATGACCTAAAAATAATAGGTGTCTTATGAAATTTTTGATTTGTGATCGAAAAAAAGTTTTGATCAATAAATTAATAAGTTGTAACTAAATTCGTGACTAATTAATTTTTTGATTTGTGATCGATGAATGAACTGTGACCTACAAAAATTTTGAATTGTGATCATAAAACAATTTGACATAAAATTTTTGATTTATGACAAAAAAATAATAAGTGACTAATTAAATCATTAATTTGTGACCAAATAATACAGATATGTGACCTAAATATAATTAATTAATTAAATCATAAATAAATTTTAATAAAAATCTAATTTTTGAAGTTTGAAACTTGTTTTCTTAATTTTGAAATACGTGATACTTAAAATCTTACTTTTGAAATTTTCCCTTTAAAATATCAACATTTTAAGAGTAGCGGTTTATCTTATATGTTGGTGTTGTTCGAAAATAACTTATAAATAGGGATATTTTGGCATAATTTTGAGTGGAACATATTCATCTGTTTTGAAAGATCAAAGTAAATCCATGCTCTTCTCAATGAGAACGTCAAAATCATATATTTACTTACTAAAAAATGATGTTAGAGTGAATGAGAAATTGAGCTCAAAGTTGATGAATTGGAAGAGGTTTACGTGTTGGAGGAAAAACTAATAGAGTTTGTCCCACATAGGAAGTTTATCGATCGATATGAAGGGTGTGTTTGAGCCTCATTCTTTTTAAACATTATATTTTGGAATAGTAGATTGATAAAGAATTTGTGGTAAAAAAAATAAGAAATTTTTTTTGTTGAAATGAAGAGAAAAATGTATTTTAAAAAAAATAAGAATCAAACAACTCGAAATTTATTTCTTAACATACCGTCCAATACTTATACAAAACATATCGAAGTTTTAATCATTGGCAACTACGTACATTAAAGTCGTATCCAATTCTCGTAGCTTTCTAGCTAAAAATGGGGGAAAAAATGTATTTGAAGATTGAGTTTCCATATTTAAACTGCTGACAATTTCTTTTATGGCAAGTGAAAGAAAATTGAATTATGGAAATTATTAAATACTGAAATAATTATTCTTCATCTGATCTTATAAAACTATGGAAATTAATAAATACTAAATCCTGAATAAGGTAATTATTTTTCAATAGGTTTAGAGAGACGTCCAAGTCCAACAAATATAATGAACAAAAATGCTACGATTGAAATTCATCTAATTTTCATTGCTATATCTGGAAAGGAAAAAAAAATACATACATACATACATATATATATACTGGGCTTTGGGCTATAAGTTATAAACAAAAATTTCACGTAGGCTTCCTAACGGAGAAGGTAACAAAGCCACTTTGACACCCGCTGCTACTAAATCCCCAACTCCCGAATTAAATTGGTACTTGCTATTGCACCAGTAATCGTTGGGCCAGGTGCTAAAAGTCCAACGCATAGATAAGTAGACAACAAAAATGCTAAGTTGAAATTCATCTATTTTTCAGTGCTATTTCTAGAAAAAATAAAAAAACTTCCTTTAACTTTAATGTGGATTGGGCTTCGAGCTAATGGCA